CACCAGTGGTAGACCTCCGAGAAAACACTCAGGGCCCCCCGAGTGATCAGAAAGCCCCAGGACAGGATACCCACGATCTTGGCCACCGCGTCCGGGAACTCCGACCTCTGCCTGAGGATCTCGCTCACCCCGGCCACGGCCAGCCACATCTTGTCCTGGTTCGGGGCGAGGCGTGTGCCCACGAAGTCTCCACCGATCATCCGAGCCTGTCCCGAGCAGTCGTCCTTGTGCACGTTGAAACCCGCGGCGTTCACCAGGTACTTGGCCCCCAACCAGATGTCCCTGATCTGCGCAGGCGGCTCGGCGTCGGCGACGGGAGGGTAGTCCACCCCGATGATGCCGAAGTCGTCGATATACTCGTAGTGGGCCGCAGGTACCTCCCGACTGATCAGGGGCAGCGGACCGCCTTCTGCCAGACGCTGCTCTTCGGCGAGGGCGGGCATGCCCACGGAGGGACCAGAGTTGAACAGGTCCTCCATCGTCGTCTGAGCCATCCAGCAGGCCCACGAGAAACCCATCAGCGCCACCCGCACACCGACGTGCTCGCCCGACCCGCTCAGGCGGGCGTCCGCGGGGAGAACGTCGAGCAGCTCCGAAGCCCGGACACCAGGCAGCACGAAGTAGGGCGCGATCGCCTCGCCCAGGTCCAACGTGTAGTAGAAGTCGGGGAGGTCGCCAGTACCAAAAACCATTCGAGCGCCCTCCTCCGTCATCTCCTCTGAAACGTCCAAGAACGACATGGCACTGACACCGCCCATTGCACACCACGGCGGAGCCCGCCATCGTAGGTTGGAACGCCGCTGATCGAAGACCAAACGCAATGACACCAGAGGCTCGCCGTCCACGATCTCGGCCTTCTTCACCACACAGAAGAGCCCAACCTCGTCCACCTTGGACTCGCAGCGGCACAACATACCAGCCAGAGCCATGCGCCTGGCCAGCATCAGCATGTCCTTCTTGCGGCGGAAGTGCGGGTCCACGTAGTTCTTCACCTCCGCGGCCCTGACGCACTCCTCGCCATCCTCCTTCAGCATCTCCCTCTCGAAATCGTCCAACATCTGAGCCACTCTCGGCGACACAGACCTCGCACTCACCGGCATTGAGCCCGGAGGAGGAAGAGCGACCCGCTCCCAATGGGCGGGATACGTTTCGCCCCGGTCTGGCAGTCGTACCTGTCCACCAGCACACCTCCTCCGCAGCTCGGCCAACCGTTGGGTATAGGTCGACCGGGATTGGTTCTCCGCCGCCGAAGCGGCGGGTCGCAGCCGCAAGATTGCGGCTCCTCGCTCGGGCGTCGAGGGAGGCGGTGGTAGGCGACGTACCTCCTCCAGCACACGCTTCGAGAGGTCCCCGTCCATGGTGCTGGGCAGTGGGCCTTGACCCCAGATCTCCCCAGGATGCAAGAGCTCGTCGCCTAACGTCCCACGATAAAGTTGGCGGAGTCCCAGCAAGCAACGATTGGCCCGCTGCGCAATGTCCACCTCCTCCCGCCAACGTGAAAGTACCCGCCGTGAGCTCGACGTTGGCCTCTCCGGTCGTGGAAAGAGCACCACCTCCGACAGGATGTCCCGCCTCCTCGACATGAATAACCCAATTCGTCGTGCAGTAGATCACCTGCTGGAACCCGACGCTCTTGCCGAAGTCCCACAGACTCGAAAGCCAGAAGTAGAAGAGAAAAGTTGACCAGCCACGATGACGGTGCCGATCGCGTGCAGGGGCTCCTGGCGGACCTTCGCCAGTCAGCCCCGTGGGGTGTTCTCCGGGGCTCACGGCGGGCTCGCACACCCGCCGTCCAGGTCCGTGCGTGCCTTGATCAGCTGCGCATCTCGACCCATTGCCTTCTTCACCTCTTCCTCGGCACTCATGACCCTGATCGTGCTCTCGTCGGCCAGCTGCGGGTCCAAGCGACGCGCCGCCTCCCAGTCGACCTTGGACTTCCAGTTCTTGGCGTCCTTGGGCCTGCTCCAGTCGTCCCGGCAGTGCACATTGCGGTAGGCCCTCACCAACGCGTACCCCTTGCGGACCAGTCTCTCGAAGCTCACCTGGTTCAAGAGCCCCTTCTGGCGGTCCGTCATGAGCATCGTGTCCACGGCCGCGAAGGTCGCAATCATCTCCCGCGCGGTGTTGCAATCGGTGAGACCACGATCCCTGATGTAGTCCCTCGCCCAAGCCTCCGCCGTCTTCCCGGTCGAGTAGACCTCCGAGAGCACGTCCGGCGCGATCCTCTCCCTGTAGCCTTCCGGCATCTTCGTGGCCCACTCCGAGGCCGGGCACTCCTTGAAGTCCTCCAGCTGCTCCAGGAAGACCTGCTGCGGCATCTGAGCCTTGAACCTCATCCGCTTGATGGCCAAGGACACCGCCTCGGCGGGCTCTGTAGCAGCACGCTTGTCGGGAGTCTCCATGGGCGCCGTCGCGTCCCCGCGGGCCGGCGATGTGGGTCCGTCCCCTGGGCCCACAGGCGTAGCAGGAGAGGGTCCCGCCGCTGCCGCAGAAGATCCCGCCACCGCACCTCCTTGCAGGCGAGCCTCGAACTCGTCGAGCCGGCTCAGCATCGACTGGATCTGCAGCTGGTTGGCGGCCGCCACTTCGGCACCACGGTCCGCGCTCGAGGACACCATGGCCGACCGCCTCAGCTCCCGAGCCCGCTCGGCAATCCTGATCTCGTTCAACTCCGCGGCCATCGCCCTCTGAGACTCGGCTAAGTCGTCCAACTGGGCCACGAGAGCTGCATCGGGGGCCGCCGCGACGGGATGAGGAGACCCCGAAGGTGGCGGCAAAGGAGGCCCCACGACAGCGGCCCCTCCGACGTCTCCGACCACGGACGATGCAGAGGACGAAGCCACCGAGGAGTGACCAGGCTCCTCCCCTTCCTGCATCTCGTGGGCACCCCAGAACATGAGCAGGATGAGCGCTAACAGTAGAGCAGCCCAGCGACGCAGCGGCATGAGCTTCCGAGCCCAGTCCACCCACTCGCCTCCGTAGGACACCCACTCCTGGATCGTCTCGGACGACTCGATGAGCGCGTCCCGACAGGCCACCATCCAGCTCACGAACGCGAGCCAAGTCTCCACGATCATGTCCACCACCCCCAGGTACTTCAGAGCTTCGAACAGCACGAAACCCAGCGCCAGCAGCCCCAGCACCCGGTACGGCGAGCGCAATGCCCACCGCAGCGTACGCAAAGAAGAGCGTGCCGAGCTGGCCATCGCATAGACCACGTTGATGGCGACGGCCTGCTGGGCCTGACGGCCCGGTCGATACAACTCCAGGGCTGGAATAGTACCCGCTCGCAGCCCGTCCGTAGCTTGCTGCATGAAACTGTTCTTCTGCACCTGCGTGAGAGCCGGCAGCGCTTGCCAGCGAATCCCGGGCACGGGATCGGAGAAGACCGTCGTCTTCGCAGTGATCGTGATGGTACCCATGGAAAGATCTGGCAGCAAGACCGCCCAGCAATTCCCCGTCTTCCGTCGAACTAAGAAAATCTCCTGGCCATCCGTCGCGCTCCGGCGGTAGTAGCGTCGGCTCCATACCTCCACTGGCATCACCCGCTCCGGCGTGAAATCCTCACCCTCCAGCGGATCCTCCTCAGGACTCGGCGGGTCACGGACCACGGTCACGAGCGTCCAGAGGAACACCAGGAGCGGCCCGCCGCAGCGCGCCGTCGCGAGGATTCGACCCCCGCCCTCTGGCAGGCACGGCGCCTGCCCAGCAAGGAACAAAGGGAGCTCCCCGCACTCAGAGCCCACCAGCTCCCAGGACGAGCCAGCAGAAGATATCGCACTGCCCGCGCGGGATGGAGAAGTCGAGCCCACTGACTCGAGCTCAAGCGAAATGGGCATGAACGCTTGAGCCCCAAAGAACTTGAGACGGAGAACACATGCATAACACGTTATACAGACGGCGCATCTGCTGCTCCCCGCCCCCCCCCGATGTCCAAGGTAAAGGTCGGGGGGGGGGAAGGGGTGAGAGGTGGAGGCCCGAAAAAGTCATTGTATCTTATACAACACACACGAGAGACCCCACGCTCACTTCGGCACACCTCTGGCGTGTTCCGCGGGGTCTGGCGGGGAAGGGCCGAAGACCTGTGCGCCCCTGTAGGAGATTCTGGAGTGGCCGCAAGGACGGTCATGTTCTGGGGTCCGTCCTGAAGCGATCTCCGGGAAGTCCTGGGAGCAAACCGTGGGATAGACTGTGGCTTTCAGTGTCATTTGCCCTCTCTGGAGCGCCCTGGCTCTCCTGGGCCGTCCTGGAGGCATCTTGGGATCATCCTCGACCGTCTTGGGCTCTCGAAGTCCTCTCACGGTAGGTTCATGCGGCGATGGCGCGCAGGCGACGCCGGCGAAGGCGTTCGAGGTTGAATTCCGCATGGTAGAACGACGGTAGCGCCACAGGACCCGACGGAATTTGGCCTTGAGCGATCGGGGCCGCAACGGGTTCCGGTTGAACGATCGACGCGGTGTCAAAGTGGTTCGCTTGTGCCGACGCCGCACGGACCGAGCCCCAGGGGCCTCCCGGGGCCGTCTCCGAGGCCTCCTGGGCTCCCCTCCCACCGAAGCCGCGCAGAAGGCGGCACACCCCGCGGGGATCCCGGGGCAGCCCGGTGGCAGCCAGGCGTTGTGGAGGGGCGCCCCCCCCTCCCCCCCCCGAGGGTGCTGTTTTGGTCGGGGGCGGGCGGGCCCCCCTCGCGGATCCCTCGCGGACGGCGGCACCACGGAGGCGTACCTCGTGGGGCTGCGGTCGCATCTCCATGTCGTCACCGCCTGTCTGTCTGTCTGTCCGTCTGTGTGCCTGTCAGTCTGTCTTCCTGCCTGCCTGCCCGCCTGCCTGTCTGCCTGTCAGTCTGTCTGTCAGTCTGCCTGCCTGTCTGTCTGTCTGTCTGTCTGTCTGTCTGTCTCTCGCTCCCTCGCTCCCCCGCCCTCTCTGTCTTCGCCTCACGGTTCCACCACGAGTGCGTTCCGCCTCCGGTGCCTGGATGCCTCTGCGCGCCCCGCGAGCCCGGGCAGGCGAGAGTGTGCCCGCCGAAGGAGGCTCGCCGCTCCTCTCTCTGCGTCCGCTGTGCCGGTGTGCCTGCCCTGCGGTGCGTGCCTGCCCCGTCTCTCGCGAGGGGCAGGAGTAGGAGAAGAGGAAGGAGGAGGAGGAGGAGGAGGAGGAGGAGGAGGCGGAGGAGGAGGAGGCGGAGGCGGAGGCGGAGGAGGAGGAGGAGGAGGAGGAGGAGGAGGAGGCGGAGGAGGAGGAGGCTGAGGAGGAGGAGGAGGAGGAGGAGGAGGAGGAGGAGGAGGAGGAGGACGAGGAGAATCGAGGCTCGAGGCTCGATGCGGAGAAGGGAGGATGAGGATCAATGAATGATGAAACAGTGGCCTTCGGCAAATCCCGCCACCGTGCCTGCGTTGTAGGTCAGAGGCCTCCTAGATGCCTGTGTGGACCTCTTGGGAGATCTTGCGGAAGCCTCTCGGAGGCGATGTTGGGGGTGCGTTGGGGGCCTCTCGAGGGTCTCTTGGGGGCTTCACTTTTCTCCTCATCCTCCTCGCCTCCTCCTCCTCCTCCTCTCCTCCTCCTCCTCCTCCTCCTCCGCCTCCTCCTCCCCCTTTCTCCCCCCTTCCCTCACCCCTCTTCCTGCCTCATTCCCTCCTCCTCCTCCTCCTCCTCCTCCTCCTTCTCCTCTTCTCCCCCTCCTCCCCCACTTCCTCCTCCCTCCTCCTCCTCCTTTCCCCTTTTCCTCCTCCTCCTCCTCCTCCTCCTCCTCATCCTCATCCTCCTCGCCTCTCCTCACCTTCTCTCTCCTCACCTTCCTCCTCCTCCTCCTCCTCCTCCTCCTCCTCCTCCTCCTCCTCCTCCCTCCTGTTCTTCCTTCCTCTTCTCTCCCCCCCCCCCCGCGAGGCTCCGGGCGTTCCGCTGGACCTGGATGAGCTGCCGATCGGCCTGCAGGTGGACGACCCGGGCGTGAAGCGGGCGGCCGCCGTGCTCCGGTTGCTGCACGGGAAGGAGCTGCAGGAGCTGCAGGCCTGGCGGCGGGAGGAGGAGGAGGAGGGGGAGGAGGAGGGGGAGGAGGAGGAGGAAGAGGATAAGGAGGAGGAAGAGAATGAGGAGGAGGAGGAGGAGGAGGAGGAGGAGGAGGAGGAGAGGAGGAAAAAGGAGGAGGAGGAGGAGGAAGAGGAAGAGGAGGACGAGGAAGAGGATTATGATGATGATGATGCTGATGATGATGCTGCTGATGATGATGATGATGATGCTGATGATGATGCTGATGATGATGATGATGCTGATGATGATGATGATGACGATGAGGAGGAGGAGGAGGAGGAGGAGGAGGAAGCGGAGGAGGAGCAGGAGGAAGAAGAGGAGAAGGAGGAGAAGGATGAGGAGGAGGAGGAGGAGGAGGAGAAGGTCGAGGAGGAGGCGGAGGCGGAGGCGGAGGCGGAGGCGGAGTCGGAGGCGCAGGCGTAGGCGGAGGCGGAGGCGGAGGTGGATGAGAATAAGGAAAAGGAGGAGGAGGAGGAGGAGGAGGAGGAGGAGGATGAGGAAAAAGAGGAGGAGGAGGAGGAGGAAGAGGAGGAGAGGAGGAGGAGGAGGAGGAGGAGGAGGAGGAGGAGGAGGAGGAGGAGGAGGAGGAGGACTATTTGGCCCATTTGACCAATCACAGTCGTGCGGGGGGAAGAGAGGAGGGAGAGGACGGCAGGACCCCGAACGGAGGTGCTTTGGTGCAGGCGGAGCCCCGCCTCTCCGCCACACCCCCGCACCGCTACTGGCCAGTTTGCCCTCCGCAGGATGGCCAACTACCCAGCAGCGGCGGACGGTACACCGTCCCCTCCCTGGGGCCCAGCGGCCCTCTCGTACGCTCTCGCCGGGCTTCCGAGATCACGCGCATCGAGGGCTGCCTGCAGGGCCCTCGGTACCCCTTCTCTGCGGGGGTACTCGCCCTCCTCGATGCGGCTTGTATTATCTCGGCCCTTTCGGGAAATGCCCTCACACTTGGCCGCCAAGTGGCGCCCATCAACCCTGGCATACTTGCCACAGGTGGTACAACAATTCATGAGGAACCGCTCCCATCTCTGGACGGTGTGGGAGGGATGCACTTCCCGCCCCGCCGCCAACCCACCGCTTCCCGCCCCCACCGCACAGACAGGGAGACCACGGCACTGGGTCTTGGCGGCCTCGATGAGGCGAGAAGCAGGCACCACAATATTGCACACACTGCACCTCCATGCACCGTCGCTTCGCCCGAAACAATGGCTAGAAGCCTGCAGCGCGAGCTTCCTCCTCGACGGGGGCGCTCTCCGTTGGACGGAGGCCCGAACCCCACTCCATGGGTCGGCCTCAACTGCCAGGGCCAACGCGCGCCTCGCGCGCGCTCGAACCAGGGTGCCGATCGCATCCCAGTGGTCAGTCTGAGGCTCACCCCCTTCCCCCGACACCGCCCACCCTCTCCCCGCCGCAGCCCCCGCCTCTAAGTCAGCCAGGGCGTTGCCCTGAATTAGGTAGGGATCGATCGGTTCGCTAGGAGGGGTGGCTTCGTCCATGTGAGAGGGGATCCACTTAAGGTTCACTTCTGTCGACCGAGTCTGGGGGGCCACCCGAATTCGAGACCACAAAACTTGGTTGGCACCGTTTTTCTGGAACTGCCGACCCCGCCCCCAAGCTTTCATGAGGGGCTCGTGGTCGGTCGCGAACAGAAGACGCACAGGGACACTTTCGAACGCGATGGCGAACTCGAGCAGTTCAGCACGAGGGACCGTTTGCCGGTGGCCCCCGACAGGGGTCGATAACCCCCACGCCAACCTCCAGCCCCTTTGGCCGTCAGGCTGCATGGCGATCACCGCGGTGCCACACCTACGCCTACGTGGGTCCGCACTGTGGATCCCCCCCGATCCGGCCCCGAAAACCACCGCGCTCCCGAACGTGGTGTGCGGCTCAACCTCGGAAATCGGGAGCTGCCCCACGGGCCGAAGATTTTCTTCAGGAAAAAAACGAGAGATGGGTGTAGCCGTTAGACGGCACGCCTCGAAGCCACAGCGCTGGACAACTTTCCCACTGCGCCGGAGCTTGTTGCCTAAGACATTTGCTCTTCTCGAATTTTTCAAAACCGTCATTGCACGGGCCCCCCCAAACTCGGTGAAAGAGAGTTTCTGTGCCCTGGTGGCACCGTGGGCACAACGTGTCCACCTCGTATCGTAAAGCCGCCTGTCATTCACGAGTGAGCTGCCTGCCCGAGACTGCAGCATTCTGGGGCCCTACTAGATCGTACGCTTCCTTGGCGAGAAACTTGCGAATTTCACGACCAGCCAAGAGCGCATCCCCGCCCCCAAGCTCCAGCCCCTCACCCCCATAATGAGAAGCGGCTTGGGTCCAAAACAGGGACGACAAGTCTTGGGCCAGATCACTGAGCAGCTCGGTGACATCGGCGCCCCCTTGCTCGAACCCCTCATCGCTCGCATAAGGCAGCCTCCAAACCTCGCTCCCACTCGCTGCCCAGCGGCGCCATGAGTCTGGGGCAAACGGGATCCACCCAGTTTCGTAGAGCGACGCGATCACCGCGCTGACGGGACCTCGCGCTCGACTCTCTAGCGATTTAGCAGGCCAGAGACTGGGGGTCAGATGCTTCCACGCCGCTCGGATGCGGTTGTGGAGCTCTGGCGAGGATTTCCGAATTAAGCAAAACTCGAGGACCAATTGGCGCCGCAACTCGACCCCTGGATCTTTGACCCCCAAGTGCATAGCGACCACAGTAGTCAGACAACGCCCAGACCCTGTTCCGGCGATAGCCTCGCCAGCCTGACGCCTAAGGGTTTGAATATGGCTCGGGCTTGTGCCATGCACCTGGTGCCCGTGCGCAGCTTGGGGGAGTGGGACTGCGAAGTCTTTGACAGCTTGGCCGAGCGCCTGAGCTTCCTGATGCAACGGAATATTTCCGTGGCCTTAACAAGTCTACTCTTCGCACGCTTGAGAACCCGAATTTTGCCTACCGAGGTGTCCCGCCCTGGGCCAACGGCCGACGACTCAACCACATGCGGAACATTGTCAGTCTTCAACGCCTGACTGATCCGCGCCCTGACCTGGGGCGATGAGGCCAGAGCCGTGGTCTTATCGGAGATGACCAGTCTTGCCTCCTGCAAACCTTCGGACACAACTTTGGCCGAGGCTGCCAGGGGCTCCACTGCGCTATCTGCCGTGCCTTCGGCCCTCGAGACCGCGTCGCCGATGGCGACCTACACGTCCTGACCTGCCGATGGGCGCGGTCCAGGATCGGAAACAAAAGCAGTTTCGCGAGCGGCGCGCCCAGGCGTGGCCCCGCCGCGAGGGACCGCGCTGCGCTAGCTCTTCCATGACTCTTCAAAAACCTGGGCGCCAAATAGATATGGGATTCTAGCGCGCCAATCAAGGCGGGGAACCCGGCGATCTTCATTGGCGTCGCCAGGCTCAGGGAATCAGGGGATTTTTCGATATCATGTAATCATGGAATCAGGGAAGCAAAAGTGTTGCAACCTGTGCCCCCGCTAACGCTGCTGTCTCACCGAGCAAGCTGCGCGGCGGCGCCGCGCGCGGGGCCGAGCTGCCTTTTGCCGCTGCGTCCCGGAACCGGTCGAGCCCCGGGCCCCAGACATCGACCGGGCCCGAACGAGCTCGCTTCCAAAGCTTTACAACATTCGAGGGCATGCTGATCGTCCTGTCGCCTCGCTGGTTCGGCTTGGGCAGGAGTGCCCAAATCGTTGCGCAGACCTGTTCGGGCCGCGCTCCTTCCAGCTCGACTAGATTAAACAGGGTGGCCAACTCTTTTACCCCCTGCCCTGGCAGGCGCTGCGCATCGGCCACTCGGAGCACGTCGATCCCTGGAGCTTTCTTGGCGGGAGCCCAGTACCAGAGAGAGGCGAGGTGGCGGGCTTCGAGGGGGTCCGAGGGGTTCTCGCCAGCCCGTTGGAGCGCCCCCGAGATGGCCTCTTGCAGGGCTTCAGGGGTATCTGCAGGATCCAGCCATTTCTCTTGCCACGCCGCCTGCTTCTCAGCCATGATGGCCGCGGGGTCCGAAACGACCTTCCCCGGCAAAAGCGATTTCAGCGGGGCAGGCGGATCGTGCTTTGCGTAGAGGTGCAAAATGCCTCGCCTCTTTTTCCATTGCTCCTTCGCCGGGCTCTCAAAAGGCTCGGCGTGACGAGGCAATCCCACGAGCGTGCGCGCAGGCTGCGAGCCTATCTGCAGCGTCGACAAGTTCGGGGAGATCCGCGTCGCTCTGCAGGCTGAGATCATCCAGGCAAGCGATCGCTGTGGCGCCGAGCTCCTGCATCTTTTAAAAATAAAACAAAGCGTTGTGGAAATCGCCCACCACTCGGCAGGGCCATGTGCCGGGTGGGTACGGCCTGGTGAGGCCCTTGCTTTTTGCCGGACCAAAGGAAAGCCCTGGGCTCGCCCCGGGAACGGAGCCCATTCCGATTCGTCAATTTGGGAGGCTTGCAATATGGCTACCCCCGCTCGGGTGACCCAACGAGCACACATGTCAATCGCTCTCTGGGTCGCATCAGGGCGCGCAGCGTGCAGAAAGTGGCGGGCAACTCCATGTCCCCCAACTCCAGAGCAGCTCCTCTGCCTCTTCCTGGCACAGCGAAGGCGAGCGGCTCGCCGACGAGCTCGCTCACGTGGGCCCAAAGCTCCGCTGAGACACGGCACTCGACTCCATCTTCTGGAGGCCCAGGCTGTGCTGGTGGAGGGTGGGTCATGTCGAACGCCTCCCGCAGCTCTGGTGCCAATCTGCCTTGCCGAGCGAGGCGTGCCTCTTCTCGTCGTAGTGAACTCTTACTCGTAGGATCAGCTCGCTTTTTGGGCCTCTCCACCTGCGGCAGCTCCCTCGGCAGGTGCAGCTTCCTGTACCAGGTCGGCTGCCCGGACCAATCGAAGTAAATTGCGATGCCGCAGTGGGTGTTCCATGGCACCGCCAGGACAGGGGTGGTGGTCGCCCCGTCCTTCAGGCTCTCGCTGACAATCGCAATGACAATCATGGAGCCCTGGCCCTTGC